GGGGGGGGGGGGGGGGGGGGGGGCTGTTGGGTCAGTGGGGGAGCTGACCCCCTGTGGGAGCATTTGCTCTCACAGTTATTTCTCCCCATCCCTCACCATGCACCTCCACCCTCTTCATTTCAATTCCATACATTTAGGGTTGTTTGGGCTCGGGTGTGCTGCAACAATTTTACATCTTTGTTGACCATAGCCACCTGGGACTCAATTTTATTGTACACCTTAGACATTCATTCATAACATCCTCATGACATTCATATATAGGAATTTGAGGTGGGCACATGGCTATGGGTGGTGGGATGACCTTACTCTCACCCCCTGTGCCTGTGCTCACTTACAACGGTTGCATTTAGACACTAGGGTTTGGATAGAGTTGGGGTGGAGGGGAAACTGGCACCATGCCAGCCTTTGCTCCTTCTTCTTTCCTTTTTAATGGCACTATACAACAACACACATCAACAGCACATCTAGGGGTGGGGGTGTATGTGTCGGGGTCTTATTTTTAGTTATTTATTTATTTTATTTTTTTTTTTTTTTCTCCTCTTCCTACCCACCTAGTTCCCTGACTGCCATTCCGGGGGTGGGGTCCGGGAGAAGGGCAGGCCGTCGGGTGTTGACCAGGACTATGTGGGGGTTCAGGGTCTGGGGGTTGCCGTGGGCGGTGCTGGCGCTGTGCTCTCCCTGGGGTTGTTTGGACCCCCTGAGCTTGGCTCTTGGGTGCCATGGTTGGCCCGCTGGCCGGGGTGGCTGCCGGGGCCTGGCGGGCGGTCGGCTGGGGGTGCGTGCTTGGTTGTTGGCGGTGTGTGGGGGTGGTCGGTGGCGTGTCCTCTTCATGGTGGGGGGGGTGTCCTGTCGGCGGGGCATGGCCTGGGCCGGGTCTGGGGTATTGGCTCTTCTCCGCTCAAGAATGAATGGGTTTACCTCCTGGGTTTGGGCATGGGCTGCCCCCTGTAGAGGGCGGGTACATGTCTTGGACCTGGGGGGTATAGAGTGTGTATCGGGAATAAGAATGAAATGTATCGTTATTGTATGTCTTTGAGTGAATGAATGTGAGATTGAGGTTGGGATAGTGTGATTGTGTATGTGTATGAATGGGTATTTGTTAGGCCGAGACTCGGACTGCCCCCTCTTTGATACAACTGGGGGTGCTTGGCATCGCGCCCCTATCGCGCGGCCCCCTGGTGGGGTGTGCCCTTGCCTGCCGGCGCGCTTGGGGCCCTTGGTATCGGGGGCTGGGCGCTTGGGCGTGTGTCGGCTCGGCCTGGTGTCTGCCTGGTGGGGCTCGGGTCCTCTGGCCCTGTCAGGCCTTGGCCTGGGTGGTGTGAGTCCTCGGTGCCCGGGCCTCGGTGCCTGGACCTGGACCTACATCGGTGCGGCGGGTGCCGACGGAGGCCTATGAGTTTGTCGCTGTTGGCCCCGGGGGGTCACTGTATGTGGTTGCTGGTGGGGATCTTCCGGTTCTCCCCTGTGGTCCCTTCTGGGGGGTGGGTGAGTGGTTCGCCCTGTGTGGGTGGCTCTGGGGGCTCCGCGGTCGGGGTCCCTCCTGGGGTCTTGGGCTCTGGTCCCCCCTTTTTCGTCTGCCTCTGGTCTTGGGGTCGGGTCTCTGCTGCTTCACAATTACTAATAAATGTTCTATTAGAGAAGCCTTATACACTTATGCATGCTCACAACCACACACAAATAGAAGCAGGGATGTTTATGTAGGCTTTATATGTAGATATATAGATATGTATGTGAGTGTATATTCATGTGTATGTATGTATGTATGTATGTATATAGGCGTAGGTATGGGTATATATATTTATTGAAACTTACTGCAAAGCCATGAATAT